AAAAAAAAATTCAAAAATTAATTTTTAAAGAAAAAAGCGTAAACCGCAAACCGCCCGCAACCGCTCGCACATTTGCAAACCCTATCCGCATAAACCGCAAACCGCACTGCGGGCGGTTGCGGGTTGACTTTTTCCCAAACCGCATAGATGCGGGCGGATCAAAACCGAACCGCAAACCGCACAAAACCGATCCACGAACACCCCTAAGTATGAGTACAACAAAAATTTGTTGTACCAAATTGGGAAAATTTTAACTTTAATACACAATTTTTGTTAACTTAATAACTTGTTCAAATTCTGTACCCAGATTTAGACAACACAACCCAGTGAATCTATTGTTATGCTGCTGATATGTTTTTTTTTTTAAAATAAATCTGTAGTTGTGCAAAACCTATTGGGCAGTTGTAATATATATATATATATATATATTTTGTAACTCCGGTCTTGTTAATCTGTTCGTCAAACAGATTTGCAACATACAATTGAATAATTTCCTTAGCAGTAAAAAAAAAAAAAAACTGTGACTGCCGAAATTGGAGCTAACATATTGGTTGTCTACGTTGATTTTCTTCACATTTTTCTTTTTTGAATCTGTTATGCTGTTATGTTACTGCCCTTTTTTGCATTTGGAAAATCTGTTCGTTGAATTCTGTTATCCTTCGGTGGAACAGTTGTTGTGTTTGTCTCAAATATGTTGTTAGAACTCTGTTATTGAAACTGATTCGCTTCTGACAATTGAAAACCAAGGTTATTTGGTTACCTGTAATTTACATTTTTGGTTATATTATTACCAATCTGTGCTGCACAGGAGTGTTTTCAAATCTATTTCGCAGTTATGCAATAGTGGCTTTTTTTGGTTTTCCTACTCTGCTCTTGTCAATCTGATATTCATGCAGCTTTGCTTCTTACAATTCAATAAATTGGTCATGAATAGAAAATATAAATTACCTGTGTCACACTACATTTTTGGTTGGCAAATAGGTTGTGCGTAGTACTCTGTTTTTTTATTCACATCTGTTCTTGTACATCTTTTCACCAAACAGAGTTTGGAGTTACAGTTTCATTTCCAAAATTGGTACAAAACATAAATTGCGAGTTTCACAAACCATGAAAATTAATAAACATTGCTTAGTGCAGTCGTAAAAGACCTTGGACCATCCCATGTTCCTTAGTAACAAATTTGAAAACATAAGTGTTGATAACAGTTGATGGGTAATGTTGATTTTGTTTATGTGACCCTGAAATCTGTGGACCATCCCAAGCCGAAGTTGTATACACTTTTTCATATCATTGTCGCCCTTCCCTTTTTCTCTCCGGTGTTGTACCCAGTTCCGAAATAGCGGATGACTTCCTTTATGTCCACTGCCACATTGACATGGCCACGGCGAATGTGTGCTTGTGGCTTTAGCCATTATTTTGTGAAGGTATCAAGATCTCACAAAAATCCTGGTCATGCATATTCTGTTTGCCCCCTGATCGTTACGGACTTGTTTTATGGGGAGCAATATTGTTCTATTGTTTTATGTTGTTGTAATTCCTAATTTGCATAAGTGAAACTCATATTTTGTACACAATTTCGATAAGCATGTAAATGCATCAACTTTGGAATGGGAAGTCAAGTGTGTAACAAACTTGAAAATGTTTGTATTTCTTAATTTTTACACTTGTAAACGAATTTTCTATTACATTTGTAATTTACTCGAACTTGTACATTTATGCTGTAAAATTTACATTTGGTACACAGTTGCCGTTATTTCAAATTCTTGTGTTTTATAATTGAAATTCAAAGTCTTTTACAATGTGAACCTACTGCACCGTACCAATTTGATGCCAACTCAAATTTCGTAAAAGAATATGCAAAATATACATATATTTTTTTTTGCATACGTAATTATTAAAAATTCACTGTCACATTTCGAACAAACATTCGAATTTGATAAGTCAACCTGTAATTTTCGAACTGTAACATTGACGTACCGTTCAAATTTCATTTTAATGTATAATTAGTATAATGACAATTGAAATGTGTATAATATCACAATTTTTGGTTAGTACTACATTTTGTAATTAGATTGTAAATGTAGACCAACTCTGTAATTTAATTTAATTTAATTCGAAGTTTGTTTAAGTAAAACAACCGTGCTGGAAACTCCTAGTGGGGGTTGACCCCCTGCAGCCCCACCTCCACGTGGGGGTTGTGAGACCAAGAGTGAAAAAAAATAAAGAATAAAATAAAATAAAATTTGAACCAATCAGAAAACAGTGGGGTGGTAGGAGTCACGCCCACTGGGGTTTGGGCCATTTTCCCAAGTAAAAATCAATTTTCAAAGGAATTTTTCTTTTTTGGGAAAGTGATAATTTGAAAATTTACAAGTGAACTATTTTACAATCCGATGTTGCAAACTGCAGAAAGTTGTACAATAATAAGTGCACAAACAAATGATTAGTACAAATTTTAGAGATTTTTAGTATTTATAATTTCAATAATGAGGGGGATAAAATGTCATGACAATGATTAGTCCACTAATTAATATATCAATTATTACAAATATGTCCATTTATTTTTTAAACCTAACACACTTTTTTTCATTTATTAGAAACAAATAATTGTGTAATATATGTGCACAAAAAAGCAAATTGGGCAGTGGCAGTGTACTAATCGCCATGGCATTGATTACAAATTTTTTTTTTTTTTTTTTTTTTTTTAGGGGTACTTCAGTGATTTTGCATAGGAAAAAGTTTCGTAGCTCAAAAATTTTTTACTCGAGTGGCTCGATTATTTTCTCTCTCCTCTGTTCCTTTCTTCTCCTCTCTCTCTATTCAAATGCTCTCAGCACTCTCACCTCTCATCCCTCTCTTTGATTTGGATTTGATTTTGTGTGAACTTATCTATTTTTTACCTTCCCTTAAACTAGTTTTTTTTTTTCTTGCTGGGGTTTGATGAATCTCTTCTTCTTCTTCTTCTTTTTCTTCTTCTTCAACTTCATAAATCAAACTCACTTTGCCTGTTCCAAAAAAAAAAAAACCATTTGTATAACTCTATGAACCAAAAAAAAAACATTTCTCTATTATGAAAACCCACAAAAAGAGAGAGATAGAGAGAACACTAAGCAAGATGAAAACCAATATAGGAGAATGAAGACCCACCATTTCTCTGTAACGAAGAAGACCCCCCATTTATGTGATGAAAACCCAAACTTGTCTGTATAATAAAAACCCACCATTTCTCTTCTCTCCTTTTCTTCACACTAGCTTACCCTCAAATTGTTTGTGGAAATGCCGAGCTCAGATCACTCATGGACATGAAGGCAAATCTTGACCCAAATGTTAGATTACTGAAAGAAAAAGAGAGAGGCGAGACCAAAAACAGAGAAAAAAATATATAAAATAGTGCCAAAACGACGTCACCTCGCCAAAACGACGTCGTTTTGGCACCTCGAGCCAATATTTTGTCGAGCTACCTAGCGGGGTTGTTTTGCATAATACAATCATTTCAAACACATTTGCATAATACAATCATTTCAAACACATTTTTCAATATAACAATAAAAAAAGTCCTTCCAACTTCCTAAACACAAAAGCTAAAATAGCCAAATAACAAAAAAAAAACTCAAAAAATAGCCACTTCCCAAGCACCCACTAAGTTTGACATACATTGAACACACACAGTTGTGGTTTCCAGCTACAAAACTAAATCAACCAGAATGAAGTTGCACTCCTTGCCACAGCCATGATAGTTCTATCACACCTCCTTTTGCAACAAATACCCTTTGCTATCTGCATCAAAGGGTGGCAAACCTGCAATGCCTTCAAATTTACCAACTCCAAATCTGAACAAGAGATAGATTACAACCGGAATTAGGGAAATATACCACAGTATTTTTAGTTGAACATTGCCAGAAATTTAAAAATTGACACGATCAAAATTGTTCATGCCAAGAGAAGTATGCCGCATAGTTGATATGATACAGCACTACTTACATGGAATGAATTAGTCACTGGAGGTTAGACATCAATGCATATAACCGAAAGCTCTGGTTCTGGCCCAGCAGTTCGATGGCTGAGGCTGCCATTGCTTCCAACAAAAGATGTGTAGACTAACAGGAAGTCGTCAAAATCTGTAACAAGTAAAAACAGAATGCACACGACTAAGCCTAGCTCAATACAATGGGATGCATAAGTTTTTAGGCCACTGACAGCACCGAACCTTCTATCCAAATTATCCCACTAGAGAAATGTACAATGAACTTATGGGTACAGGGAATGCACAAGAACATACGATGAGAGTGATCTCACCCTTTGATACTCACACGTAGAAAATACATGTAATATAGCTGACAGAATTGACACTACCAGCACTATGATTTGTATTCAACAAATTCTCAATATAAACCATAGCAAAAATTATGCCATGTTCTTATTCAATGCCACATAACACCACCAAAATCAGGGCCTCAAAATGTACTACGTTTAAATATAAAACTTCATTCAAGCAAAAGAGTGGCCATGATGATGCAACCCCTCTTAGCACAACAATAGGATCAGTTAAACAAAACATATTTAATTAGTTTTTCTCTTTGACTGATTGTCAGCATACTACAGACAGACTTATGGTAGAAATTGAATTTGTCTTCACTACCAATCTGAATAAAATATTGAGAAGCCAACCACTATAGTAAAGCAGAAGGGGATTATAATAATAATACAGATGTAAGCCAATTCAACCAAGGTTTTGTAATAGAATGACGTACCGGAAAATGCCTGATAGTGAAGCATGGAGTGTTCAGCCAAAGCCCAATTGAAGCAAGCCATCAGATCTTAAGCAACGCGAACCTGCAAAGATCATAGCTTACACAACTATTTGTTAGTAAGAAAAGCCCTTTGTAGCTGGAATGGCTCATAAAACAACTCAGTTCACCAAATCATACAAAATGCCATTCATACCAATTAACAGATAAATGTAACAACTCAACTACCCCACAGAAATGAAAGAACAAAAGTTAAAAGGAATGGAATATGATGGTCAAATGAATATATATTCAAAATAAAATGTTCAATGTTAAAACCCATTAACTAGAATAATAACAAGGACTAGAAGACCCCCAAGACAGCAAGTGAAGCCCTATGGATCCATTTTCCTAGAAATATCATCGTTTGTTTGGCCAGCTTGGCTATCAGGCTCATCAAATGGAGAATCGTCGCCTGGCCATTTCTCAGCTCCTGAGCTTCCCGCCACCAGTAGGGAATCTAAATCCCAAATATCTGATAAACCGCTTGAAATTCCCAATTCTGGCACATCATAATTGTTAACAATATCCCATAACACATTGCTAGAATTAGACATACCAGCACCTGCTTGAAAACCAATGTTCCATACATCCTCTTTCTTAACAAGACTTTCAATTCCTGGAGACAATGATTCTGGAACATTCTTCTCCTTTGTCAAGTCTTCCGGGAAAGAGACAAAATACTCGGGGACAAGCTCTGGTTGGGGGTAAACCACGTTCTTTCCTTTGAAAAGAGGATCTTCAGTTCTTAGGCTTGAAGTTCTCTCCCCAACCTGCTCGGTGGTCTTGAGAACTTCATGTGTTACATGCAATTCTTCTGATACAATATTACCTATTTGAAAAGGCAATGTTTCTGCACCCAAACCCAGATTTCCTTCCCTATCTTGTACAAGAAAATCAGGAGTTTCGTTTGCAGCAGCTGGACTCAAGTCTGGGGTTATAGAAGATGCAGCAAGGTTCCACAACTCGGGTCTATACTCGATGATCTGGCCTTCCATGGATGATTTCAATTGACCTGGTTCATGTTGTTGATGTTTTACGAACTTCCTCATTGTTCTCGGAGAATCAATGGCTCTCTGCTCCTTTTTTTGCTGAAGACGAGCTAAGAACTCCGGGTTCCGAAATAGCTTCGCCAAGAACGTAACCATCTGCTTTTGCCTCTGCTCTGCTGCTTGGAGCTTTTCATTCACTGCATTCATATCCTGGACTGTCCCATGATGCTGATGCTGCAATTCAACAACTTCCTGTACCATAGAAGTCTTTTCTTTCCTCAATCTCTCTAACTCACCTTCCAATCCTCCTTTCTCTAATTCAGTTGAAGACCCAGCATGGCTCCTAATCTGCTGCATTTGAGTTGACTTGCGCCTCTGTATGCTCTTCAACAGATGCCTCTTTCCTCGCAAGAAACCTTCATTTGCAAACTCCCACCTATCAGTATCAATCTTGCGAAATCCCTGAACACAATTACCCAAAAATGATTCAAGAATGAATTGAGCAGAAAACATATTCCTGAATAGGGGAAAATTGATTCAAATGATAAATGAATTTGTAACACTAAACAATTTGAAGCCGTTAAATTCCAAACAAGGAATGAACTGCAATGAAGTATAATTACAATCCGTACATTGCTACAACAAATTCTAAAAACATAAATGCATAAGTGAGATGATATAAACTTGTCAACAATAATGAATGTTCCAATGAAACCCAAAATTCTACCTGCAAAAGATGGACCCTCCTCAATCCATAGATGTTCGAATAAGGGAAGTCCTTATTTTGGTGGATATGAAAAATGAATGTGTAGCTTCTCAGACCCTATTCTTATTATCAACAATATTATTTAAGACTTCACAAGATTGTAGTTGAATACGAATAAAGAGAACTTGCAATACAAAGAAACCCAACAACTATAAAATTACATAGAAAGCAAAATATTCATATCAGAATATTACATGAACAAGCTCATTTCCATCTCCTTTCCTGTATACAAAGCCTATGACAGCAACAAAATTCACAAGCATTTCACAGCTAGAAATTCATTACATACCCATGAAACTTTCCAATTAACATGTTGATCAGCAAAGAAAGAGACTCAAATTCCAGAAAATTTTATATACAATTACAAAGGGATTACTACAAAGTGATTAATCAAATTACAAAGAGAACATAAAATACAAAAAGATAAAAAAGAACAGAGTAATTACAAGAAAAATTACAAAGAAAACGAAAAGGAAATTTACATACAGACCACACAAGCCATTGTAGGCTGTGTTAATGCAATACCCACATATGTATTTAGTTGGCGAACAAAACTTGAGAAATTATTGTGCTTGAAATTCCTCGGAAGTACGAGCCTCGCGAACTCCAGTGGGTCCCAAACCACAAAGCTCTCGCCCCTAAGGCCCCAAGATATAATCGGATTCAATGTTGAGTCGTCCACAATATCAAAAGTTTTCGACAAAAATGGTGGGATTGGAGTGCCCTGTAAAGCTTCAAGCGGCTGAGGAGGAGTGTCCAAATTCTCTTCCAATTCACTACTCGTTCCAATTGGTGGTACATTCAAAACATTTTCCCCGATTACAATCCCTTTAAACTCAGACATATGTCGATATGGTTCGAATTCCAGGACAGCGGGGACGAAAGGGGAAGAAGAAGAAGAAGATGATAGCCCAGCAAAGCTCATCGGTAAAGGACAAGAACTGGGTTGAATCGTGGAAAACCCAGAAGTATGAGGAGTAATCGGAGAATCTGAGTCAGACCCAGGTGGGCTAGAGGAAGGAAACAAGGATTGATCATTTGGGTTCATCGTTTCAGGGTAAGAAAATTGCTGGGTTTTTTTGTTTGGAGAGAGAGAATCGGAAGGAAAATGTTGAGTTTGGATGGAAAATAAATGAGAAAATGGTGGGTAGAGAGAGGTATATAAGGTGGGTATTGCCGACAATGAGAGTTCGGATAAAAATCTTGAAAGGCGGTGGAAGGAGGTTCGCCCCTTCTTCCTCTCCTCCGTTGTCCGGTTGGGCCATTTCCATTGGGTGCAAAAATAGAGAGAGAGAGAGAGAGAGTGACATATAGATACATAGTTTTAGAGAGAGAGAGACCGACATTGGGTTGGGACAGTTTCCAGGTAAGTTAGTGTTAGTTAGTAGGAGGAGGAGTACAGGAATATCTGTGGGCTGTCAAAGTAGAGAATTGGGACCCATTAGAGCTTAGATATTTTTCTGGGTTTTGGACCATTTTTTTAACTTTACTGTTGGGAGTTTGAAAAAGACGGGTTTGTTTGGTTTGTTTCTGGGAAAGATGTTTTAGAAATTTTTTTAATTTGTTTGGTTATATATTTTGAAAGTTGTTTTGAAGTTTGAGAGTTTGAGATGATTTGATATTTTGGGCTATTTTGGGAACTTGGCTAAAAGTCACTTTTTTTGGTTAGTAGCAAAAGTCAAAAGTTGACTTTTTTGGCTTTTTTTTTATTTGACAAGTTGGTTTTTAGCCAACGGTGCAATTACAATTTTACCCCTCATGGGTCACAATGTGTTACATAGGTTCAGTTGTAAATATTTTAAATAAATGGGGGTAGTTTAGTCATTTTATTATGATTTGACATCATAAACAAATATTAATCAAAAAAGTCAAAAGTCACTTTTTACCAACTTCCCAAATCATTTGTCTAAAAAAGCCAAAAGCTTGATTAAAAGCCAAAAAATCACTTTTTACCATCTTCCCAAAACAACCCTTTATTGTAATTGAGTAGATGTGTGTGAGAGAAAAAATGATTGAAAAAGAGAGAGGAGAGAGAAAAAATAATTAATCGATGCGTAAGAGAAAGAAAGTGATTTTAAAAATTTTTAAAAAAAAATTTTAAACCAAACAATTTTTTTTTTTTTTTTCTAAAACTCATATCTAAAATTCAAACCAAACATAATAATTGGATTTGGGTTTTGGGCATAGGTAAGTGTGGTTGATCAGGTCACAAAGCTTTATTACTTTATTATTATTATTATTAGAAATATTTTTGATTTGTTTGGTTATATATTTTGAAAGTTGTTTTGAAGTTTGAGAGTTTGAGATGATTTGATATTTTATTGTAATTGAGTAGATGTGTGTGAGAGAAAAAATGATTGAAAAAAAGAGAAGAGAGAGAAAAAATAATTAATCGATGTGTAAGAGAAAGAAAGTGATTTTGAAAATTTTTTAAGAAAAATTTTAAACCAAACAATTTTTTTTATTTTTTTTTCTAAAACTCATATCTAAAATTCAAACCAAACATAATAATTGGATTTGGGTTTTGGGCATAGGTAAGTGTGGTTGATCAGGTCACAAAGCTTTATTACTTTATTATTATTATTAGGCAAGTTGGAGTTTTGTAACGATATGTTTGGGCCACAAATCTAAAACTTCTCAATTAAGTAATTTAAAACTGTTCAAGTGAACTGTTATTCAAAAGAAAAAAACAAAAAACAAAGAAAAGATTGTGATTGGGTATTTAGAATAAGTAGATGTAAAAATATCAATATATTCACCTGTGAAAATAGTGGATATCTCATTTTCTTGGATCTGAAAGAAAATGTTACTAGCAACATATTTTTTTATATTGATTTTTTATTTTTTTTTTACAAGCTGAAAAGAGTGCTTCTATTTATATCATAGAATCATCTCACTTTAAAATTTTTAATATTTATTTTTTTTAATATAATATTATCTTTCCCTCCTACTACTATTTGCAATCTCCTTCTACTTATTCTAAGTTCCTCACATGCCTTCCCTGTCACGACCTCATTTCGCCCCTAGTAGAATGATGCCGTGATGGTCAGTAATCCGAGATTACCAAAGGCCACCTTATAAAGATTCACACACAATCAGAGTATACATATAGGGCTTACATGTACGGAAGCAATAAATTTAAATCTAAGCAGTCCATAAGAGCTGTGCATAGATCAAATAAAATGACATACATCTTAACATGGTTTTACAACTTAAATACAAAATAAAGTGGAGTACATATTACATCTTGATCAAAAGGCTTCTCAAGCCGACATATACAAAAGAAGTGAATTAAAACTAAGAAACATAATCTTTAAGAGGTTAGCAAAACGAATCCAAAACAACTTGCAAATAACATCTAAGTGTCGTCGTCTTCTTGCTCGCCACCTACATATATATAAAGGGGAGGATGAGCTTGGATACTCAGTGAATGATATAATTAATAAAGGTTTGAATGAATGATATCCGAGATCTTTATTAAAACAATACATATCGTAACTTGTAACAAAACATGGGATGAATTAAGTTCATCAATCAAATCTTTCAAATCTTCTTGGGATGTTTAATAACATCTACATAATATATGGGGGATGACATTCCGGACAAAACAAATGAATAATCGACCTAGAATCAATTAGACAAATCCACCTGCACAAGGCCGTCGGTGGGGCCATCCGTACAAAACCGTCGATGGCAGAGATCTCTCAAACATGGTGCTACATGAGCTTAAAGTCCCCTAGCATGGGAGGACTTTCTAAGAATGTCATCAAAATAAGATAATACTTGATACAAAAATTAGAGATAATCATTCATGCTTGAACAAACACTTTTCCAAAACAAAGCAAGCAAAGCTTTTATCAAACGTTAGAACATAGCTTTATTAAAAATACCACTCACATAGCTCTTCGGGTGTAGGGATTAAGGCAAGGATCCAAGACCTACAAATACATAATAAAGTCTACTGAATGCACTTCAAGAAGACAAGAAGGAATGCTCAAAGATGGTTGTGCAATGCATCCTTAAAGCAAACTTTACATGAATGAAAATGATCCCGGCATTTCTTTCCAAAACCAAGTCAAGACAAAGTAAAACATGCTGGGAGTTAAATCACTGTTTTTCATCTAGGGAAAACATGCTGGGTACTAACCAAGTCTTGGAATGGATGCACAGAAATGATCTAGGCAAAAATGACTTAGCTGGGTGAACCCGGGAGGTCTTGGCCGAGGTGTGGTTACCTAGGTTTTGGTGTGCAGCTATCTGCCGAGGTGTTACAAGGTACCGGCAAGGGTGTACCATGGTCGGCCTAGGTGTGCAGTGGTTAGCCTAGGTGTGCATGCAAGATAGACTAATAGTGCAAGTGATCATGCAATGTAAGCCAAAGTGAGATACGATGCTTGGCCTAAGTGTGAGATCTAGGCAAGAGTGGTCTCGGTGATCACACCTAGGGAAATAGTGAAGTCTGGAAATTTGAGTTTCCTCCATTGAAGAACATGAATGCTAAAATTACAACTTCTTTATTCAAAATCTGAGATTTCATTAGATGAGTTCGAAACACATGGACCTGGGTACCCATACTTGAAGATCTTATGAAAACAAACACAAAAATATGGATCGTCATACAAACTTTCGGATCAAAACATGATTTTATTTCAAGAATACAAGAACATCATTTTCTCTTTCTAAAACAAGCTTTAAATCAATGCATGGCTCATGAATCATGTTAGATCATGCAATGTGATCGGATCAACATAAATAATAACAAGAGTAGATCAAGAATCTAACCTCAAAACACGGATCTAACGATTCAAGGTATGAAGATCAAGCTTGGAAATCTAGCTCTCTCACTCTAAGAACTTCTTCTTCTTCTCTAGAGCTTCTCTCTCTTCCTAGGACAAAGATATGACAAATGATATGTTTTCTCTCTCTGCCGGCTGACTTAACCCTCTGCTGGGACACGTGGCAACGACTGGTTGGCTTTCCTAAAAAAGGTGACAAAATGACAAGACAAGAGTATGACAATGTGTATACAACAAGTAAGGTGGCATGGGCACTCTGGCAGGTAATGATCTCGAATTAGGACATAGGCTTCGGCAAGTAAGGTCTCAATGATCTCAGCTAGGAAGGATAACACTTGACCTAGCTGTGCCACATCTCGGCCTAGATGTGCCACACCTCGGTCTAGGTCATACCAATCCCGAAACAAGATCGCTAGGTGCAGGGATCAAAGATGTTGGATGCCTAGATGATAACATCTCGGCCTAGATGATACACCTCTTTGCCTAGGTGATGCACACCTCGGCCTAGATGATGACATCTCGGCCAATATGCCAAGGTGAAGGTGGAGATCAACTAAAGTGGTTTAGGTGTAAGAGGTTCAAAGGTGTGACCTAGGCTTAAGATGACTTAGGCTTGGCATGACCTAGGCTTAACATGACCTAGGCTTGACATGACCTAGGCTTGAGACAGCAAGGAAGGAACAAAGCATGCATACAACACTTACGCAAATCACAAAAGCACAAAACAAGACATGGACTTTTACCTAGGTAAAACAAGTCTAAGTCTACAAATACAAGCTTAATAAGACGAAATCATGCAAATGCACATGAACATGACTAAGACATGAATATGAGTTATTACATTCCCGACCCTCTCTCTTCTCGTCAAAAACCCTAGCAACCACCTTTTGTCACCCTTCAAAATCTTAGAGCTATGATAAAAGAGATGAGGTCGCATGGTAGTGGGCTGGGGAAGGGAGTTGCTATAGTAAAGGATTTGGGAAAGGTCACAATGGTGAGGGGCTGGGAAAGGGGTCAATGTGTTGGGGAAGGCTAAGGATAAGAATGTGTCCGAATGGTCGGGGGATAGTGTGGGATGGAGTGGACGTGGGATGGGGATATCTCTTTAAATTTGCTTAGATTTTGAACGTAATCTATGTACTTCAAATTATTATTTTTATCATAATACAACTAGAGAAACAAACATGGGGAAAAAAATTTACTAATAATTTCATGGAATTCAATTTTTTAATTTAATATGCAAAAAATAATTTGACAGAATTTAAATTTCTCAAATCTATTAATAAATTGAATTACACAGATATTTTGAGAACTTGCACACAATAACTAAAAATTAATAAGATTAGTCCGTTGAAAAAAACTTTTTGACCTTATTAAAAAGTCGTAAGTTCAATTTCCTTTACTTGTGAATATATCTTCTTTTTCATATATTTGTTTGGAATCTTTCTTTTTCATTTTCACAGTGGAGAGTTTATATATAATTGTCATTCATGTTATATTTTTTAATGTATTTCTTGATTCATTGAAGAAAAAGGAAAAGTT